TTTCTAAATATACATCAGCGGCCTTAGAATTGGGTACTGTTAAAAAGCTGTATAGTACGAATGCCCAATGAGCTCATTTTCGAAGGTGAAAAAAATATTTTTTTCGCGTTATAACCCAAAACTTTCGCGTTATAACGTGAAACTTTCGCGAATAAATGCATAACTTTGGCGTAATAACACGAAACTTTTGCGAATAAACGCGAATTTTCGCGTTATAACGCGAAACCTTTGCGTAATAACGCGATTTTTTTGCGAATAAACCGTAACTTTCGCGTAATAACGCGAAATTTTTGGGAATAAACGCGTTACTTCCGTGTTATGTTTGGTGTTAAACAAAGACATTTTCTTAAGTCTTAACCTTCTTTCGATTTTGTGACCTTTTTTATTCAATTCAAAGAAAAGCAAAACGCTATCTTGATCTTGAACCATCACAAGCTACAATTTTAAGTTTGCTATTAAATCCGTATTAATACTGTCACATTTTGTCTTTCTCTAATCTGTTCAAACCATTCAAAGTTAATGCGATTGTTCTCAAAAGTTAAACTTCATGATTTTAAATTATGGGAAAAACCAACCCTTTCAGGTGGTTTTGTTATACACTCTTGAGAAACTTGAAATAAAATTGTCGAGATTAAGATGGCAGAAAATTGACAAAATATGGTATGTTTGTCAAATGTTACCAAACACATGGATGAAAATTAGGGGGCAAATTTTCATTTGTTCCCTTTAGATTCACTGAAGAAATAAGACATTGTATATGAAGGTCGCGCCATGTAGTCATTCCTTTACTTATGAAAACATTCACAATTAATTCAAAGTGTAAAAATCTTTGCTGCATTTCTAAATAGTTTTGATTAATTGAGCTAAACCACGACCTTTTTAATAACCCCTTGGACATATAAATATTGAAGAAAAATTAAGAAAAGTAGACCCTCCTCCTTGATAAATAAGTAATTAACAATCGTCATTTATATTTTTCACTTAAAAAACATCATATGGCACGTTAACCCCATGAAATTACACATTATTTACTCACTTTTAAAAAAAATTGTGAATGACATGACTGATAAAAAAAAAAGACAGATGGAGAAAGTGTCAAGTGGAGATTTTCCTTCAATAATACAACCAGTCTAGAGAAAATTCTTGAATTTATCTTCTGAAAAAAAAACATGAACAAGAAAGTAAAGTTTATTTTATTTATTCGTAGTGTTTTGAAATAAAAAAAACCCTCATCACTAATCTATCCTATTCTTGCATTATTTTTCTGGACATATCTACTAAGGAAATGATATCTTATTAATAAAATTCATGAAAGTTCGTGTCATCGTTCGCTTTCTTCTCTGTCAGTAGAGATCAAGGTTCCTGAAAAACGTTACTATGCATCTATGCATAGAATTTTGCTGTAAATCGTACAAGTTTTGCGTTATAAGGCAAATGAAACGCGTTTATTCGCGAAAGTTTGGCGTTTATTTGCGAAAGTTTCGCGTTTATTCGCGAAAGTTTGGCATTTATTTGCGAAAGTTTCGCGTTTATTTGCGAAAGTTTGGCGTTATAACATGAAAGTTATGGGTTTATTCGCGAAGTGATTTGCATATATAATATTGCTACTCAGGAACCTTGATCTTGACTAACAGCAGAGTTTGTACACTTTGAATTAATTGTCAATGTTTTCGTAATCAAGGGAATGACAACGTGGTGCAACCTCAATTTCAACAGCTTGTGAATCCAACGGAGACAACTGATTATCTGCTATCCATTTTCCCCAATTGTGATGGGACTCAATTGAAAAACTTACCTAATTAGGTCAATTTTTTAAGAACTTGTTCTTTATGAAAATTAATAAATCTATTTCAAATTTATAGAGAGTGCATAAAAAACCACCGGAAAGGGTCATTTTCCTCACAATTCATTTTAAAGAGGCTGGGTGGTTGTGACCATTTTCAGACTATTTTGATCTCTATTAGAAGAAGAGATTCATATAAAGATATAATAAAATGATCAAATTTTAAAACTAAAACTTATGAAATTTTCCTTTGCCAAATGATAGATGACAGTTAAAGATATCATGTACCATAAATAAATGTCACAAAATCAAAAGAAAGTTGTGACTTAAGCAAATGCCTTAATTACGCGTTAATTCGTTAAAATTTTTGCGTTATAACGCGAAAGTTTGGCGTTTATCCGCGAAATTTCCGCGTTTATACGCGAAAGCTTCGCGTTATAACGCAAAAGTTTCGCGTTTATTCGCAAATGCTTCGAATTATACCGCGAAAGTTTCGCGTTTATTCGCAAAAGTTTCGCGTTATAATGCAAAATTTTTTTGTTAATCTATAAAAATGAGCTCAATGGGCTATCGTAGTATATAGCTATTCTTGTGAAAACATATTCTTTAACTATTGCCTTAACAAAACTGCATGTACAATGATTTTGTCACCTAATATGATAAAGGTTAACTGTTTTGAAAAGAAGGTCAGACTTAAACGTCAAGATGTCAAAAATCATATTGTATGTTATTTAAAATGGTCATGTCACAAATAATAAATATGTTTGATATGAAAGCACTGTCTCTCCTCATTAAAAAGTTACGACGAAATCTAAGTGGTTATTAACTTTTTTAAAAGATTCAAAAGATATAAAGAAGGTTACAGTTTTTGTGACATAGAGACAGAACTAAAGACTGACAGACGAACAGACGAAAGCGTGGGGGACAAAATAAGGTCATCTATTGAACGGGTACTAGAATAAATAACCAAAGTTTCCTATAGTATTCTGTATATCATTCACCCCACCTTCTGTTCCTATGACCATGCGTGTGACATGTAAAAAGGAATTAGATATAGCACATATTATATCAATGGGCGGATACTGGATATGAAATATGGGTGTGTGTGAATTTCGTTCTACCAGGGGGTCAGGGGGCTACCTTTGGGCTTCCAGGTAGGGAACGAAGCCCCCAGAAGTTCCTGCCTTTTCGTGTAAAGCAATGTAAAAACAGTGACATTGGCAAGTTATGTATCAAAGTATGATAATAAGAATATTTGTCATATCCTACTTTCAAAATTTCTAAGAGGGGGAGGGGGGCTCACACACACGCTTCATACCCGCTTGTAATATCAAGCACCTGTCAAGTTGAATGAGCGGACTTCAAAATCACAGGTATACTGAAATCAGAACCACGAACACTGCGGCTATCTTGTAAAAATAACTTTTTTGATATGATTTGTATTAGCTAGAATATATTCTTAAGTACTTTATATGTAAGCATGAAAGAATTCTGATGAATCAGCAAAATTAAATAATGTAAAACCCAGCGATTTGACAAATCTTACAACAGTTGTATGTGTTAAACAAGAAATTGAATATAGTAAAGAATAATTACTTCGATGTCAACACAAGGTACAGCTTGTAATTCCCGTTTGATGTTGCAAGATAACAGATGCTAAGTAAAACAAAAATTACAACCTAGGTCAAATCTAAGACCACTAATCCTTATCCCAAAAATGAAAACACCTTAATCACCTTAATTAATATTTAATTGCTATGTTTCACTTCCATTACTCTGTGAGTTGCTTACTCCTGTCACAAGACATTTTCATTTGATAACAAGGATTTTGACGCTCTGCCCTTAGAGTTTGACCTACTCATTAAAAAGAATAACCTTGGCCATAACTTTTGAAGGGCTAGGGCTTTCTATATCCACATACAAAATCCCTGTTGCAAGACTTTCCATTGGATATCAGAAACACTGAAGCTTTGTCCTTTGCCTTGGAGTTTTGACTTTCTTTTTTGAGACTTTAACCTTGGCCATATTTTTTTAACAGTAAATAATAGCTAGGCCTTTTATTACTCCCATATGTGATTATTGTGACGAGTCCCTTCATTGGATACCAAGAACATTGACCCTTTGACCTCAGAGTATAACCAAACTTTTAGAAACAACCCTTGACCATAACTTTTGAAGGGTTATGACTAGGGTTTTAATCCTTCAAATATTCAATTTTGTGAAAAGACATTTCATTGGATATCAGAAATGATATCAAGAACTTTATTCCTCTGACCTTGAAGTTTTGACCTACCTCTTAAAAACTTAAACATTGACCATAAATTTTGAACAATAAGAACAAGGGCTTTCATACTTCACATGTGTTATCCTTGTGACATGACCTTTCTAAAGAAACCAACAACGTTTACCCTTTGACCTTGGAGTTTGACCTACCTTTCAAAAAATTTTCCTTGGTCATACACGTATTTTTTTTAACACATTGTGCTACATATGTAGGGCTTTTATATTTCACAATCGTATTTCTTGTGAAAAGATCTTACTTTAGGTAACAACATATTTAAATTGCATTAAAGAAAAATTTAATCTTTGCTACGTTGACGTAAGGTGTCTTCAGTGTAAAACTAGATCATCCCTTTTTATTGAAAAGAGATAAGGTTTTCATAATTGACATTGAACATTAACTGTGACAAGAATTTCCGAGCTTGCTATGAATTTTGACTCCTTGACCATGACGTTCACGATTGACCTTATTTTTTTTTTAAATTCAGCTTTGGTGTTAATTCCTAAATGGCACATGTTACGGCTTTAATATCACAATATGCAATAAAAATTGACATCTCACCTACAAAGACACCGAAAGCGGGGGGCCACATTTCTTTCCGATTTGCTTGTTTACATTGTGTGATTACACACCATGCGCCCTATTTTCCGCTTAACTATTAAAGCTGGTCTCTGAATCACAATAAACTTCTGTTAGCTTACTATTGACGCCAGTCAGTCTGGCAAAATGTAATAATTCTCCTGGACCCAAATCTGCTTTGATATTCAAATGAGCATTTGTGTTCATTTGCAAATGTACACTCTACAAATTTTAGTTAAATATTTTTTCTTTTGTATTTTAAATAGTATGCCACATTTTGAAACATAAACATAAAATGGGTTAATAATGGCAATATCATACATTGTCAAGAAAAAGTGCTTACACTGTTTGCTTTATTTACTCACCGTAACATTCAGAATCTCTACAGCCATCTTCATTTGTATCACTAGGGACCACATCCTCTTTTTCCTCAGTACTTAAACTATCTTTTGTGACGCAATTCTCCGTCGCGTCTTGTTTACCGTAGACACGAGTCTCTGTAACAACTTGCACTCTTTTAGCTTGATCACTATTTACACCAGTTTCAGACATTTCATGCTCTCTTTTCTCTGGTTCACTATTCAAATCAGTCTTTTGGGCACCATGCTCTCTCTTCTCCATCTCAGTATGTATATCCGTCTCTTGGATATCAGGAACGTTTTTCTTTGGTTCTGTTTTGACAAGGATCTCACCGATATCTTTGTCTCTTCCCTTTGGCTTCGTATTAGCTAAAGCATCTTTGATGTTCTCAGAGTCACTAAGGCGATTAACATCGGAAACATCATTGACATTTTCTTCTTTTTCAAGCTCCATGAATGATGTTTCTTGCAAATTCATCGTATCTTAATAAATAAAGCAAATACCCGATTCTTTTAATTGATATTTCCAAGAATAATATTCCGTAATTTGTCCTTAAAAATTGTAAGTCTTTTTTTCACTTATGGGATAGTCTTAAGGGATCTTTATTTCGATGTTAATAATATCTTTTCAGCTTCAGGGATTAAAATAATTATATCTTTAATGTATTAACAAAATAAAAAAATAATTAAAAAAAAACATTACCATCAGTAGAATTTGTATGTGTGAGCAAGGGTCGCTCATATTCTTGTACTTCTGGTACAGAAATATTCTCTCCTTGAGGTATTCTGATCTGAACATCTTGTGATTTACCAGCTATCGAAAAAAAGAATATTCCACTTCTTTTACCTAGAAATTTAAGGTGATCGGTATGATCATTTATCCGTCTGTATAGCTGTTCGTCCGTCTGTCTGTGTGCCTCTGTTTTGTTTTGAGGTAACCATCTATTATCCATGTCTCCTCTTATACTACTGTGCGATTTAATAAAAAAAATTATAACGAATTTGTGTTATATAATTATGTTCATTCTGGCCTCTTATTTTACATTTCGATTTGACAGACATTCCTGGTTTCCCATAGCAAAAGATGAACACTATCATTAATTCTATACTAATTCTATAATTGCTTATCCCCAACTCTCCCACCACAATGTAATGAAAATCGATATACTTTCGAAGATTCTTTATTTCATAATGCCATTGTGTACTTCATATTAATTTCTGATCAGACACTTATTTCGGGTCACCCAGAGTAAAACACAAACTTTTCCAATAAAATCATATCGGATGCGTGGATTATCACATAGTGAGCGCAGTGCTCACACTTCTTTTAATTATTTTTTTTTTCAAAGCTCCCCTCCGAGAAAACTGCAACTGCATATTATTGAATAATGAAATTAATTTTAAAATAAGAAAATCAGAATTCAAGTGCATGTACATATACAAGTATAAGAATTTTAGCTGCAAAAAATCATCGAAGTCATTTATATATATTTACATCGTTTACAAAAAAATGTTTTTCAATCAGTTATAATTTCACAAATAGGGTTAAATATCTTACAATCTAAGCAGAAATGGATGCTGTACGATGATGAAGTTTTTATATACATACATTTATTTAAAAAAAATAAATCTAAAAATAAATTTTTAAAAAACGAAAAAAAGAGAAATTTTTAAAGGTTTTCATAATTTCGTTTAATATTCTTAGACAAACGTTCCCGTATTTTATATAATAATATTCATTTTATAATCAATTTATTTCTGGCTCTTTGATTGGATAAGATTCAACGCTAGACAACTGGCTATATTTTTGTTCTTTTTTCTCCAAAACTTTATATTATATTTTTAATCTGTTCTCTCAGCAAATATAAACAATATCACATGGATTTCTAAACACATTTTTCATCAATCATTGAGTGGAATAATAGATTTGTTTGTACAAAAATATAGATACCTTCGAGGTACATATTAATCTCTTCTCTTATGAATGGTGTATAATGCATCCTTAGGTTGATAGATATGAAAATGACATTAAAACATATTTTATAACTTTCCTTTGTACTATCTGTCAATAATCTTCCATTAAGACTGCAATACGGAGGGTAAGTGGATAGTCAAAGAGAAATAAATATAAATGAAATAGGCATTTTTTTTAATGTTCTAGCAACATAATGTCTAATAAGTTCATTTTATATTTATAATAAATGTTATCTTTAAAAAAAAACATTAGATATTTAAGCTTTAAAATTTGTTGTTAGTTTAAAATATCACAAAGTAACATGTAATAACTGCAAAATCTCAGAAAAATACCTGAACAAGGTACGTGTTCTTTGTCTTTCTGTTTTCTTTTCCATTTCCAAAGAACAGCAGTCAGTACCAAAATAGTTATAAACACAACAGTAGCAAGGCTTCCAACAATAATCCCTGTAGCGTTGTGATCCTCGTGCGGGAGGGTGGTTTCAAGAATATTTATTGTTGAGTTGTAGCCACTAAGGATGGTTGATAAGCCTAGTTTATATGTTTCTGTAGTATCTCCGGTAGTTACACCATTTGTGCTGTATGAAAATGGCGTATGACAAATAAAATGATATAATTCACAGAAATCAAAAGATCAATAATCATTTTCCTTTCTTTCTATCAAACTTTATACCGAAAAATCAGAGGATGTCTTTTTTGGTATCAGGAAAACATTTCCTTTTGATAAATATAGGATCTCCCATGGTTTGTAGTTTGATATGATTTTTATCCAACGAGTTGTGTGTTTTCTACCCCCGAGCCTTGTCGAGGGGATAGAAAACACACAACGAGTTGCATAAAAATCATATCAAATCACAAACCATGGGAGATTCTTTTTATCACATATTTTTGTTCACTAAAGATGTGTATTTTGTCGTTATTTCTAATCCAAAGTTCCTTTTCGGTTACCTCGGACCAAATAACGTAATAAATAAAATTACGCTGTATGAAATAGTTCGTACAAATATAAAAGAAAAAAATATTTCAGCGCTTATTTTTTTTAGTTCAGGAATGAACTTTTGTTAAAATACATCAAATTAAGTGAAATTTGAAAAATTAAGTCATTCTCTCTATCATACATATGTATCTGTTTATTTACATCAAGTCGCGCGGCGTAGGAATACATAGTGTTGATACGAAAACGATATCACATGAGCTATATCAACGGGATAAAGGGGAAAATATGTGATAAAATGATATACAAATTAAGTAAATTTCAATTTTGAATAACAACTGTAATCAAAACTAACTAATATAAAAGTCTTCCTTTTTCATTTTGTTCTTAAATATCCCGCCAATCGTCATTTCATGTGTACAGAGAGAATAAAATTATGCACAAATAAGTCGACAACTTTGATTGGCTGCTCCTTTGAAAGTCATTCTAATAATGATTTACCCGGTACATGTAATTATCACTGCTTTAATCCCAATTTGATGGTAAAAAATATAACAAACAGTATTGGATTTGCTTGACATGTAAATCATTTCTACATTTACTTTTTTTTATCTTCCAGATTCACAAAAAAAATTCACATACATTAAATATTGAATTCAATTTACAACCCCAGTTCAAAAAAGTATAAGAAATCAAATTAAAGCATCCCATCTGTCTCTTTGTGTGTGTAGCTAAAGATAGAAAATCTATTTCCATTTCTGAAATATCTAAGATATTTTCATATATTGCTGAAGTATAAAAAGATTAAAGACAACTTTGATTGGAATAAATTTGAAGATCTTGAAAATCTATTCAACAATATTATGTTAAATGATTAAAACTAGTCTCGTTTAACTTGGTTTTGTATTCTGTGATGAATTAATTTTGGTTTAGATAATTGTGAACCGAATTAAATTAAAAGTCACAAGCTATCAATAGTATATTACCTAAAGTGCTTAAGGTAAGTCACTCCTCAAGTTTGTTATATCAAGAATTTTTTGAGAAGTGTATTTTTGATAAGTACTCATAAAGTGTAACTCAAAATTGCAAAGAAAATAGGGGGTCAGTGTGCATCCTACTGATCTACGGTACATTTAAGTTGACCTTTTTACACTTAAATTTCCTCTCTTTGGTTAATTACTTTAACCCTTATTATATTTGATTAGATGTAAGCAAGGCAATAAATATAATCTTATTTTTTTGTACATGTAAAATAGTTTGAATAATATTAAACATTAAAAAAATCTTGCAAATTAATGCGCGTAAATTATTGTTTGACCTTTTTGCACCAAAAAAATAACATATTTGGGGTATTAAAAGACTTAATAGGCAATAATTTTTTTATATCAAACGTGTTACGTCTTGAGTGCTGATCAGTCGCAAGTATCGAGTAGTTTAAAATAATGAAAGAAAAAGGTGGGGTCAGTGATGTTAATTTTGAAATATTTGTCAAAATATGTTATTTTCAGGCTAAAAATTGAGTAAATTTGACCTTGACTTCTTTCATATATTTTCATTTTTTGGGAAAGTTTGTTGAGGGAAGGTGTAAAACTTAGTCTGAAAATATAAATTAAAACCTATATTAAATATTTTTAGCAATATCAAAGCAAAAAATATTGTCCAAGTAAAAGTATGTGAGGCTAAATTTCTATTACATTAAATTTTATAAATGTGCAGATTTGCAGAATTTTCTGCTTAATATCCTTCCACCAAAAGAAATAGTCCCTTATAATTCTTGCTTCGTTGTTGATTTTTGAGCAGTGTTTTCATTGAATGTTAAAAAATTTACATTGTTGAATATAAATATGTCAGAAAAATTGAATTTTGATGAGTAGTTTTGAAGTAAAAGCTTCTGAGTGAACTTTTCTAAAAAGCTGAGGAGTGACTTACCTTAACAATATAGTTTTAGTGTTCATCTATGAAATTTATAATCCTTTGAAATTTAAGATTTTTGTCAGACTTTTGAGATGTGTCCTCATTTCATGCACATAAATATTTCTTTTCATCGATTTTGGAGAGTACTGAAGGCATTGTTTTTTGTAAAGATTCTGATTTCGGCAATTAGTTCCATATACAAGTATCAAAAATAAACTCCAGCTATATACGACGAAATTTTTGAAATGGCAGCAGTTCTGACTGATTCCTGGCAAGTAAAGTATGAAAATCGTGAAAAAGCTAGAAAAACGTCAGATATTTCTGACCATACACTGCAGTACATAATCAAAGTACAAATTACTTCATTATTGTCTAATAAAAGCATTTACGTAATCAGTCCCAGAATTCCCTACACAAGCATTGTTTTGTACACATAGGAACACGATGTCAAATATCAGAATGGAACCCTTCATATGTACATACATAAAAAAACTAACACTTATTAAGGTAATTCCACCCTCCTATGATGTCATAGGTTTTTGCAAAGACTGCTATTAGTTTAAATTCATACCTAATAAAACAAAATCTCTTGGAAAACTGTTTTACAATAGGTGTAATGATGAATATTGTTAAGTAAAAGAATTTTTAAAATGCACATTTTCCTTATTTAATCAATTATTTAATCTTTTAAAAATGTTGACAAGGGTAATAACTCCTTCTAAAGTCTCTTCATTCAGGCATTTGCTTTATTGTAAAATAGTTTCCCTGATATTCACAATTCAAAAGTATCTTTTAAGTAGGAAGTATTTATGAACACTCAGCATCAGAATTATGCATTATAACCAGTTTTTACATATTATTCATACTTTTTACCAAAAATATGCAATTTTTTTATGTTGACACACACTTCTGTTTATTTATGTTTTGCGTCTTAAATAATATGGTGACCTATATTTTCTTTTGCAATAATTGGAAAGTTTATTAAATGAAAGTAAATGCAGTTTTTGTACTTTGAACCTATAAAATTGTGAGGGTGGAAACACCTTAATAAATCTGTCGTCAAATATGGGGTAACCACACCAACAAGAGGTCCAGGGGACTTAAGAGCTCATCTGAGCATACATGTATCGGCTAGGAAGAAGCACATATCAGATCAAAACTGAAAGTTTACTGAGGTTAAGGGGGGGGGGATTTTAACACTCCAGGGGATCATGATTTGAACGAACTAGAATCTACACTACCTCAGAATGATTCCATATAAATATTACTAATCATGGCTTTGAAGTACCTGAAAAGAAGATTTTAAAAGGTTTCCCTATATATTCCTATGTAAAATTTTGGTCAGCAATTTTGGCCCCAACTTAGCCCCGGTGGTCATAATTTGAAGAAAAAAAAACTTGAATCTACACTACCTAAGGATAATTTTACATGAGTTTCATCTTTCCTGTGTCAGTGGTTGTGAAAAGAAGATTTTTAAAGCTATTTCCTATATATTCCTATGTAAAATTTTGATCAGCCATTTCGGGCCATTCCTACCCCCGGGGTTCGTGATTTGAAAAAAAAAATGAATTTACAGAACATGAGGATGAATCCACATGAGTTTCATCTTTCCTGGCCCAGTTGATCTTGAGGAGAAGACTTTTGAAGATTTTTCCTTTGTGTTCCTCTGTAAAACTTTGATCGGCCATTTTGGCCCCACCCTACCCCGGGGGTTATGATTTGAACAAAATTGAATCCATACTACCTGAGTGTTATTCCTCACGAGCTTCATTTTTCCTGGCCCAGTAGTTCTTGAGAAGAAGATTTTTTTAAAATTTTATTAATTTCTCTCTTATTCATAATAAACTCCCCTTGGAAATATGCGTGGTCATTCAATCAAAAAACCTGAATCCCCTCTACCCAAGGATACTTTTAGCAAGTTTGGTTAAAATCGGCCCAGTGGGTCTTTAGAAGAAGATAAAGATGTGAAAAGATTACGACAAAGACAACGACAAAAACAACAACAGACGACGGCCTTCGGCTCAGGTGAGCTAAAAAACTCTATTTAAAAGATGATGCATTTCATTGTCTTGTGTAGGAAGGTGGCACATTACCCCAAAGTTGCAATTAAAAATCGATACTTCATACTCCTACGGAAAAGTAATAAATACTATGCATTTCTGTTAAATAGAATAAAAATTGTTGTTATTGTGTTATATGTATTGTATTATCATACTTCATCATAAATATTCTAAAAACGCCGTTATCTGATTGGTTCTATGCTATCACGTGATCGGGCTGTAAAACTTCATATTTCCCAGTCGTCAGTACGCTTTCAACATATTCCACCTCTTCGGAACACCTTGTGTATTTTCCTGCAATATAGTTCTCGTTCGTTAATTGAAAATTCTCCAGAGAAGTAGACGTCACAATAGCCTGGTTTTCGTCACAAAACTGATGATAATGTGTTGACCAAAGGGTTTTATAGTAACTTTACGTAAAAAAATGAAAGTGAATTTGAGAGCAGTGCAGAATTTGAAAGTTTATGTTTATTTCAGCATATTCAAATATTTTGCTTGTTTTGGTATAATAAACAATTCACTGCGCGAATGTCTGAGAAACATGAAGACTTATTCAGCCAAGAAATATCATATTCAATTTGATTTTTCTTGGCTGAATAAGTCTTCATATTTCCCTCACTATCATGCAATAAATGTATATTATTAAGTATGTTTCGTCAAGTTTTGGTGTTAATGCTTTTACAAGTATGAATTTTTTTTTATACAACGGGTTGAAATCCGACTTTTTAATAAATGGCAGCTGCGTTGGTACCGGTGCTGCATTGGACTAAAATTAGTATTTTGATCCTGAATCAGTTCTTCAAAAATGTAAAGGTGCAAATGTTTGATAGACAAGAAAATGTTTTCTGGTCTGAAATGGTTTCCATATAACTCTGGGAAAAACGGAAACTAAAATAAAAGACAGGCCTGAGAATTGGTTAAGAGTGCCACCGTTAAACTCCTTGAGAAAAGACAGAAAAAAGTCCCTAGAAATATAGGATTTTTGAAATTATTATTATTTTATGGCTGTACATATATATATTTTGTTAACATAGATTAAGTTTAATCATATCATAGTATTTAAGATATTTTACATTTTTATATATACTAAGAGGAAAAAAGAAATACAAGGTACATCTAGCATAATATTCCATATTTCTTTGACAGCATGTTCGAAAATCAGTGTTAAGAATGACTCAACCGTAAAATATACAGTGTATGACGTCACGTAGGGAATACGCCAAAAAGCATAAAACACGTGCAAATTGATGACGACGAGTATGTCAAAATATTTTGTTGTACCATTTGATGAACCAGAGGAAGACACATTGTTTTTCAGGATTTACAAACGATATGGATTTCTTGCAATCTTGGTACAGTTTACCGAAATTCAGTGGGTTCGGGTTTTCGAATTTGCCTAAGTAAGGAAAAATGCAATAACGGGTTACTGAGCAGTGTCTTGCAAATTTTTACCCATCGAATGTTCTACCCGTTGTCAGAGAGGACCAATATGGTTTCCAACTAACCGTGACGATGGCGTTAAAGCACAACAGAATCTTTTTAGAGATCCTGTCACCTGTTTAATCCCCACCTTACTACCACATAACCGCTTTTAATACAGCAGACTATCATAGTCATTACATTCATCCGAAAACTAAAAGAATACAAAAATCGCAATATAGTTCTTTGAGCCGGTCAAATTACTTTTGTGTTCCTCTCACTGGCACATGCACGCGTCATTTGAATAATTTTTCCGTGTGGTTAGCTATGCCTAATATAGTCAGGATTTAAAAGATAATCATTCTGATAAATTTCTAGCAGAGGAGAATCACGGCTGTGACAGATGTGCGAGTGAAACATTGAAGATAATGAGAGTTTTCGATTGTCACTTTCAGAGGGTTTCCGTCATATGAGTTTCAATAACTTATGAATTTTAAGACAAAATCAAATGGAATTTCGGTTACACATTCTTTGAAGATGATTTTAAAAGTAAGATAGGACTGCTGAAAAAAAATAAAGAGAAAAATGAATTTAATTCAGCACAAAAGTTTACCCTGTGTTTCTTTTTACTTCCAGTATATATTCGTTTTGAAGAATTTGATTCTGTTAATTAGAAAATTTTCACCCAAAAAATTGTTCCTTATGACATTTGTCTACATTGGACATTGCAGATTGAGAGAACGATATCACTTCAAAGATGATAACTCGAATTGCTTTTAAACAAATCATATAAAACTTCGTAATTTATCTGCCAAGAAAACGCTTTAACTACACAGAAATTTTTCAAACATACATTAATTTCTTTTTGAGATCAGTCTACGAAGTTTTGGGACAAGCCTTGTATGATGTAGATTTGGCGTCTTTCGGGGAATTAGCCTAATATTTGTAGAATTAACCAATCAGAATAGCATAAATCACCTGATTTAGAAGGAGAAAAGAAATATACAGTTTATCTTTACAAGAAATCACCTACATACCTTCCCCAGCTTTCCCCATTATTCATTTATTGAACAGTTTATGCTTATGATTACATTTGATTTTAATTTTTTGTTGATGTCTATTTAAAAGAAAACCCTCCACAATTAGTTAGTACTTTTCATTTGTTTGGGCCTCAAAGTAAACTTTTTTTCTTGTAATGTATATCCGTTTTATATTTTGTTCTGTTATTTCCAGTATTTTACTATTGACATGTAACAGGGGATATCATTATCAAACTTTATGTTGTTACAATGTATGTAAAAAAATAAATCTATCAACGACTTTTGAACCTCTCTTTATCATATTGTTATTACTCATTGTTGTTTTCAATAAATGTACATTCACACAAATCCTGTGTTGTGATGTTTTATCCAGGAAGAAAACTGAAGGTATATTTTAATTTTTTTTAAATATTTGAAGAGCATGTATTGCGTTAACATTTCAAAGTTTCAAATAAGTAAATCATGATTTATTCAAGAACATCAGATAATTCAAAGGAAAAGAAAATACTTACGTGTTCGGGCATGAGAATTCAGCGAGATAGCATTTTTGTTCAGTATTGATGCTTTGACAAGCGGGATCTAAAACCATAAATAAGGAATTCAAATTTGAATAAATATATCAACGAATAAAATATTTTTGAAAATGCATTTAGGCTTTGATTTAATACTAGTACTATGTCTCTTAATAAAATTGCATCAAAAAAAAAATTAATATCTTACACTGGTATATTGTATTGCTTGGATAATCTTCCTCAGGACAACCTGATGAAAATCCAAGACAATCGACGTAATAAAGGTTTTCTCCGTCAGTTTCCAAACAGTTACCTTAAAAAAGGTAACATAACTATGTGTGTTAAATTCATAAAAACAGGAATAAAAAGTATATTGAATTTGTAAATACCTAGAGGAGCAAAATAGAAGCCTTTAACCAACTTTTCAATCAGATATAACAAAATAGTAAAGCATCTTACAATTAATTTTCACACAAACGTTCCACTTGTTGACACAAGCATAATATTTGGAACCATTCTTAGTTTAATGACAGAATATGTTCGTCAGAGATGACAAGGTCACGCTTCAATTATATTACATTACAACTCAAATTATATGTTCAACTGGACGAAAAAAGGATAAACTCGGGGAAAAAAGTAAACTAGAGCACATTGATTTAGTTTTGAAGGTGTTTCCATCCTCGCAATTTTAATGGTTTAAAGTACAGAAACCGCATTTATTTTCATCTAATGTTTCAAACTATTGCAGGAAATGTATAGGTCACCATATTATTCAAGATGCAGAACATAAATAAACAAAAGTGTATGTCAACTTAAAAAAATCGCACATTTTTTTGTAAGTAGAATTATGAAAAAGATGTCAAACAAACTGGATAAAATGCATAATTCTGATGCTGAATGTTCCTAAAAACTTCCTAATTATAAGATAATTTTATTTGTGAATATCAGGGAAACTTTTTAACATTAGAAGTACAATAAAGAAAATGCCTGTATGAAGAGAGCTTAGAAGGAGTTATCGCCCTTGTCAAGACATTTAAAATATTAAATAGTTGATAAGATAAAGTAAATAATCATTTTTTTTCTTCTAAATTCTTCAACTAAACAAATTTATAATTACACCTATTGTACATCATTCTTTCGAATGATATTGTTCTATTAGATATAAAATTAAACTAATTACAGTTTTTCAAAAATCCTATGACATCATAGGACAATGGAATTGCCTTGACACTTTAACAAACAAATCAAATTAGAATAAAAAAAATCAAGCAAAAAGAATAGATCTAAAGTTAAAATAGCACAAAATATATAACTAGATGCTGTCATGAGACAGTAATACCCGCACTAAGGTGTTTGCCTCTAAATACACGCTCCTACATATTGGGCGGCTTTCCACAGAAATAGTCAAAATAATTCTATAGTTTACATGTATTCATCAAATTGAGTATGAAATTCTCAGACCCAGTGACCTATAACTCAGAACCTCTTATATTTATTTTATACATGCTTAATTCATTATATACCAGTCTGAATTTTATTAATGATGTAAATTCATGCACGGATCTGTCGGAGGGGGGGGGGGGGTCAGGACCCCCCCCCCCCCCCTGTAATTTAAAAGGTTAAAAAATGTATATACAAAAACAAGGAAAAAGTTACAATGGACCCCCCTTGGAAAATGCAGACCCCCCCCCCCCCCTGGTAAACACGAATATGTGTAAAATAGGTATGAAAAGTTAAACATTTGCGGCAATAGAAGTCACCACTACCCCCACCCCACCCCCCCACGATATAGGTTTTTGACGTTTGGGTGAGATTTACCTTACGTTTTTTTTTTTTGATTATCAATTTCTGGGATAGGATTTTTTTTTTTTTTTGACTGAGGTGGACCCCCTCTCCCCGGAAAAAAATTTCTGGATCCGCGTCTGAAATTAGATTTTGATATATGTTTAGCTCACAGTAGGACCTTTTTAAATTTACTACCCCCCCCCCTCGACACCACAATCACACAGCACATACTTTTGGGGATAGGCTAGATGGAAAAGGTTTGTTAAAATTTAATATCATTTGTTATGAATTAATTTAAAATTTGTTCTTGTACTATACATGTGAACATGTAAATTTCTACATCACATCACGTTGCGTCACCCATTATCATATTTATAGATTAAACACCATTTGGCACACCTCGGCCGATACCCACTTCATCTGATAAGGTGATGGAATCGACGAAGGTTCGCCAAAATGGCACATGGCTGCAGTCTGGTGTGCATTGGATTAATTCATTTTGTGTTATAATTGGATTTAGGCCTATATTTCATGAAGTTGACGAGACACAGGGAGTCGGTAAGTAGAAGTTTTAGTATAGTGGGGGGTAAAATACACCCAAACGATTAGGGTAAAGTTTAAAAAGGGTCAAAGATCATCGCATGCCACACTATACGAATTTCATATTGTGAAGTTATCTCCCGTTGTCTATGTGACATTCAGTTACTGCCAATACTGGTGCGTATCCAGAATTTTTTTCGGGAGTAGGGAGGGGGGTTCACATCTCAGTCAAAAAATTCCAGCCCAGAATTTCGTGACAAGCAGGAGAAAAAAATGAAAACAAATAAACAAATAAAAAAAACAATGATAGTGAGGTCAATGTTTTCTAAGTTTATAGGGAGAGGATGTCAAGAGTCATTTTTTACTTGCTACAGTATATAGTCTTGTTTAAATAAAGCAAATTCCAGATGGGGGGATGGGGGGATTCCAATCTTCCTACCCACTTCCTGTCCCTGAAATAACAATGTATTTTGTGATTCCAGTTAAATAGTATATTTTTTTTTCCATTTGACTAATTATTATGCATATTTTGTTTCTTGTGTTTATAGTATGTCTGTCTATAAGTGTGCAGAAATTAAATCGTAGCTAGCTTGCCCATAAGTTTTAAGTGGGATGGGCTATACAAATAGCTTCCACATTTTATAGGTTTATTTCTTGTGACAATCTAATAAGACCTTTTATTTGGGTACCATTAATTTTTACCTCTGATCGCTTGACATGGGATACACATTTTTACAAAAAAAAAAATTCCAAACTTTAAACTCTGCCTAAATTTTGATCAGTAGGTGCTAGGGCTTTCATACTTATCATGACATATTGTTTTCATTGTGAACTGTCAACAGGTATAAATATTTTTGACCTTGACCCTAGAGTTTGAACCACTTAAACCAAAAAAAATTAACCTTGGCAATTAACTTTTGAACAGAAATTACTAGGGATTTCTTTATTTCACATGTGCATTCCTTGTGACAAGACTTTCTTCTGATACTAACAATTTGAACCCTTTGACCTTGACCTTTGATTTTGACATATATTTGAGAAACTTCAACCTTCGCCATAGGCTTCCATACTGGGACATCAGTGTTTCACAAACACATCTTATCTTCATTATTATTTGGTGGTGTCGCCATATGAGGGAAGATGTATTCACAACAAACAAACAAATCAATAAAGAAAATATAAAACATGAATATGTTGGTCATGCATATCTCTGCAGGAAAAAAACAGCTTTCCAAATACTCCAACCATACTGTAACCCTTTCAAAACACTCATTTGAGCTTTCTTGGTTTCCTTAGCATATAATGTCTGTCGTGACGTGTTGTCCATCTGTTTGTCTGAAAACTTTTTACATTTTTAACTTCTCTAGAACCACTGGGCCAATTTTACCCAATTCATATAGAAATATGTACATTTGTATGTCAGACTCAGTCCATCTGTCTCAATAAATTTAACCTTGGTTATCACAGTCATATCTACTGAATGAGAAGAGACATTCATATTAAACTTATGTATTAGTATATTTACCTTTGAGAATGGCATGGTTTTTTTTTACATGTGACCTAGAAGTTTGACCAACTTGCAAAAAAATTAAATTGTTATAAATTCATCATTTTGAAAGAAAAAAGTTAGGGCATTCATATCATAATGCATGTATATTATTACCTGTGATAAGACCTTTCCAAATAAATCATGACTTTTACACTGTGACCTTGACCTTGAAGCGATCAAGCCTAACCTACTTTTCAAAAATGTTGCATTTGCTTATAACTTTTGATTGAGATGAGATATGACTCTCACATTTGACATGTACATAAATTACTCATAAGAATTCAAGGTGTTTCCCAGCATGTGATGTTTTTTTATGCGCCCGATTTTTTTCGGGGCGCATATTGTTTTTGTCCTGTCTGTTTGTCTGTTTGTCTGTTGTCAACTTTAACCTTGGCCAAAACTTTTGAACCATAAGAGATAGAGACTTCATATTTGGTATGCATACTCCTCTAATAAAGTTCTTTCAAATGACATCAAGTTCAATGACCTTGTGACCTTGACTGTGACCCATATGCTAAAAATATGTTTTTCAACTGTTTGTCATAACTTTTGAACCATAAGAAATAGAGACTTCATAATTAGTATGCATACTCCTCTAATAAAGTTCTTTCAAATGACATCAGGGTCAATGACACCTCGTGACCTTGACTTTGACCTATATGCTAAAAATAGGTTTTTCAACTGTTTGTTATAACTTTTGAACCATAAGAGATAAGGACCTCATATTTGGTATGCATACTCCACTAAAAAGGTTCTTTCAAACAACACCAAGGTCAATGACCATGTGACCTTGACTGTTACCTTTATACTAAAAATAGCTTTTTCTACTTTTTGCCATAACCTTTGAACCATAGGAGATAGGGACTTCATATTTGGTATGCTTACTGCACTAATAAAGTTCCTTCAAATGACATCAAGGCCAATGACCTTGTGACCTTGACTGTGACCTATATGCTAAAAATAGCTTTTTCCACTTTTTGCCATAACTTTTGAACCATAAGAGATAGGGACTTCATATTTAGTATGCATACTCCACTAATAAAGTTCTTTCAAACAACACCAAGGTCTATGACCATGTGACCTTAACTGTGATCTTTATACTAAAAATAGCTTTTTCTACTTTTTGCCATAACTTTTGAACCATAGGAGATAGGGACTTCATATTTAGTATGCATACCCCACTAGTTAAGTTCTTACAAACAACACTAAGGTCAATGACCTTGTGACCTTGACTGTGACCTATATGCTAAAAATAGCTTTTTCGAATTTTGTTGACGCATGGCGCATAGTGTTTCACAAACACATATTCTTACCCCTTGACGTTGATGTTTTACAAATTTTCAAAATATTTAACTCTCCTAAAAGATAATTAGACTTCTGAGTAACATTAAGGAAGACTTCAAGGAAGACAGGGCTTTTTGCACAAAAAAAGTCATTTT